TTGTTTAACTTCAAGCCTTTAAGACCCCAGATGCTATATCTTTTGATAGCCGGGCACCATCAGCTTTCTTCACCACATTTGCTTATGCACCTGCTTTGTCTTCAGTGAACATCACAGAACACCAGGTCATTAGAACAAAGTGTTCTTGCGTTGAGCGTGGACTTGAGTAGAGACCCAATGTCCATCTGCTACCTTGATACTTAACATATAAGTCTATGTGCATAGATCTATATCCCTATCATTATATTTTTTACATATATATATGCCTATATTTATACCTCTATAAATACTTTTGCCTCCTAGTTCTTTCCTCTATTTCCTTTCACCTTCCTCCTGTCTCACTATCATGCTCACCCTCCTTTCGAGTCTCAGCTACATTGCACTTGATCAAACCTCACCAGGCATTCTATGCCCTCCTCCTCATCTGTTTTAGCTCTCTTGTTCCTTTGTCTCTTTGTTGGTTTCCCCCTCACTCTCCCCTACTCATCTTTATGGATAGACATGGGGTGAGTGGGGCGGAGCCTATACATAGTTCCAGGTCTGTCTGCTGACCCTTATGAAAGTTTCCCAATCGGGTGTGATGAGGTGCCAGCCCTGTCCCCTAAGTCAGACGTCTGTTTTCAGGATTCCTCGGGGACTTTGTTGCTTTGCTCTCCTTGCTGCTCTGTTGTGCTACCTGTGTGTTTCACCCCAGTGGTTGTGGCTGTGTGTGTGTGTCAGTGTGTGTATCTGATAGGGCACAGTGCCTCCAGTGCTGTCCCCTGTAGCGCTGTAGGTCAGTGAGGGGGCATCGTGTCTCATGGTGGGGCCAGCCCTACAGTCCTCTCTGCATTCCGAACAGGAATGTCATCCTCGAGGCTTGGTGGGCCAGGATGCGGTCCTTTCTCTCTCTCTCTCTTTCCCTCTTAGCTTGCTCCCCGGTGGTCTGGGCAGACCCGCCCCTTTCCCCGGCTATATCTTCAGTGCTGTCCTCTGTAGTGCATTCTTCTGGGGAGGGGGCAACGTAGCTGGGATTGGGGCCAGCCTGCAGTCCGTTCTGCTTGTTAAAACTTTTCAACTGGTATTCCACCAGTTCTAGGAGGTTTGTTTCGGACGAATGCCGACAGGGCAGCTTGGACTTCTTCCTTCAGGATCACTGGTCTCTGATCAAATGCTACTTCTTGAAATGGTTATGCGTCAACAGATTCTTTTTGGCAAGTGCCTGACAGGTGTCCCTTCCATCTGCTCTTGATACTTTCTGCATCATTCAAAATTTTGCCCATAGACCCTTCCATATTTCAACCCCAGGCTTGAATTGTTTTCTTCTTCAATTTGAGATATGCTAAGCAGGATCCTTTCATATTAAAATGGGTATTTTTCGTTCTTTCTTTCTTTTTTTTCATTTCCACTGCTCCCCCTGCCATCCCACCACCGCTCCAGCATCAGGCAGTCATTCCTGTCTCGTCTCCATTGACCTGGGGTGGGAACATTGTAGGGGTAAGAGAGTCAGATTCTTAGCTTTTGCATTTGACTCTGTATTGAATTTGGTAATTCACATATTACGAAAAAATAAGTTGCCATGGAGTTAACTCCTGCTCAAGGCGACCGCCCCTAATCCCCGCCACCCCCCCATCTCAGCGTAGATCCGGGCACTGTGAAGCCCCC